GTCTTAGCCAAACCAAACTCAACAGAGTAATACATGAAGGTTCAACCAAGAGAACGCCACCTTCTTTCAACAAATGGCGCCACTAATACTGTCCGTATAGAAAAAGTTCGGATACTTTTGGGACACAACTTTTATTATCATCTTTGTATTGGCTTGATTGGTAATGGAAAAGTTCCCTGAAAATCAGTTATGAATAATCTTCATGTATCTGAAGTTCCTGAAGAAATCAAGTTATTGAATTTCTTAGAGAGGCAGCTTCCAAACATAGGTATGGAACAGATAGACTACCTCTATAGGATTGATAGTGGTTCTGAAGGCTCTTGATATTTTGGCGATTGTAATCATGGAGTGGGAAAGAGATTTACTTTTTCACATGGGCATCCCTCTCAAAATGTATCAACCATGGGTTGGTGTTGTATCAGTAGGTTACACAAAAGTAACTGCAGCCAAGAATATCCACATACATTTACTTCACCCTTCGCGTGATCTGAAATGAGACCAAAGTGTACCAGTGTAGCCTTGGAAAGATGCCACATGAAAGAGCGAATTTGCAAATGATGTGAATGGGGAGGCTTGGTGCCAGGCAATCCATAAAGGAGAAAGATGAGTTTGTTTTTTATCATGAGGTGCATCCCTCACTTAAGTCTATTTGACATGTGTAGAAAAGGGCACCTGAAATGAACAGGGAGTAGTAAAGGGTAATGCAAGCTATAGATCTACAGTTCGCATGAAGATTCGACAATTAAGGCAACTTTGAGTCAGAAAAACTAAATGGTAATTAGGTTTCATTTTGGAATAAAGTTGATCCTTCAGAGAATGCTTCTGGAGGGAACTTCAATACAAAGAAATCAACATGGCTGTGTAAGGTAAGACATTAAAGAGAGACTCATATGAACTGTATGTTCAAGATACCAGGTAGCATTGCCACATGGATACAGTAGAGTTGTCTGGAATAAGTGGCTCCCCTGAGGAAATTGGACACCCCATTACTGTTTCAGTTGACACTAAAGATGGAGAGAAGGTGATCCTTTTTGCATATCAATCATATAGTAAACTCTCTTGCACAATATATCCCACACCCAAATATCATGCCTTTTTTCATGCCAGGGATTAGTACCTCATCATGAAAAGCAGTACTGACACGAGTGCATTGCTATTTTTTTCTAAGCCTTAGAGGCATTTCAAAGAGATATTTTTTAGAATTGATCGTTGATATGAGAACTCATTTAGTAAACCAATGGGGTGAGATATATGGTCTTCTGCTGATACTTAATCATCTGGAGGGACAAACTTGCCCCAGCAAAGTTCACCATATGGGGCAAGTGAGCACCCTTGCCCAGTTTTTTTTGTAAATATACACAGGTTTGACATAAGTAAATATATCAGTGAAGCTGGCTTGGAGCTAAGTCAACCAACCAGACCTGGATGTCAGTCACCTGTTCCTATTGCATTCATGAATGTCACACAAAGAAAGATCACTGAAATGTTATTACAAAAGAGTGTTGAGGACTTTATTTGGCCCATTTTGAAATGAAAGCCACTGTGATGTTATTTCATCAACATATTCCATTTAGTCACAATTGGGGAGCCAGAAATTGAGTAATTGCTTACTTTATTCACAATGAATTGCTTGATGGAGTCCAATTTCAGTATTAACAGCAATGTAGATCATGCACCAAAAATCAGAAGTGTAAAATGCACATTCAGAAACCCCTCACAGGGGGTTTCCTTGAGAAAACGGGAGGAGTAGGTTGCTATGTAGGGATATATATGGACTACATCACAGCAATGGAATTGATTTGATATAAGCTTAAAGTATATATTTGCATAGAATGTAGACCGTTGATCCCATTCTCAATTTGAAGAGCATGGCGAATTCTAATATACCAAGTTTTTTTAAGAAGTCAACTCATGAACCAAGCTTGAATGAGTCAATATGCTGACAGGCCTTCATAAAGTGACCATTGGCTAATTTCAAATGAAATTATTTCTGGCTCCAGAATTGACCATTATTGCATGCAACCTACCATTTTTCCCGTTTTCTTGGAAATTTTCCTGTGTAGGGCCATCCATTTTTGTGCGTGAAGAGGAGTCATTAAAAGTTAATTTCTTAATGCATATAGTTGCATATAGTTGATGCCATCAAGGAAAATGAATATATGATTGATCAAGAAGCCTTCTGTGAGTAGATTAGAATTCTGTTGTTGTACCCATATTTACAGCATTTTTGCATTTTTGAAGCATCTCAGAATCAGTCAGAGAAAGATGCCAGTGAGTTTTCATTCATAAAAGATTGAAGTTGGCTGGAAAAATCATAACATTCAAACAAATGCAATGAAGTCCATGGTTGGTTCCAACAAGAGATTACTGAAGGCATGGATGGCATGGTTTTCAGGTGAAGGAATATTTGTTCTTCTTGTATGTCATGAAGGTGTGATGCATAAAATGTCCATGAATTTTGAGGAAAGAATGATTGCATGAGTTCATATTTAATAGAATGCTATCCCGAGAAGACAGATAAGAATTTAGATATAATCATACTATAGTAGATTCATGAAGGAATATGTTTCCCCTTGTTTTTTTTTTCTTTTGTGCAGGAAGGAGATGGTGTCCATTGTATGTGATTCATTGCAATTTATGAAAACTACTCCTTCACTCTAGGTGAGAATGGTTAGCATTGCTGGGCTGTGTATATTTGCATACAGGTAAACTTTTTCAGGTTTTCAGATAATAGAGAGGATATTTATCTGACATGGTGATATTTGACAGTTTGCAAAACTTTGGAGGGATATATATTTTGTAAAATTATTATTCCTTTCCAATATTCCATGTGTGTGATTCTAATGTTACTCACAATGACCTGAGGCCAACATGAAGACATGACTTGACGACTTGGACATGGCTATTTAATGATGTAAATAAATAGTTATTCCTGTGGATTGGTCCTTTCCTGTCAGAAGTGTAGAACTGGAAGATAGAACTTAGGAAGAACATTGCTTTCACCATCACCATGCTTTTCTCATATGATGTCATTTTTAAGATTGAATGTATTGTTCAGAGTCAGAAATTGTTTGAGTAATGTATTTGGCAAAATATTGCCCCCAGATTGATGAGAAGGTTGTATTATCTTCACCTTTTTAGGGGAGTTTTTCATGTGAGTTGGAGAGTGTCTGCTGCTTCTTCTCCATGATGCCAAGTGGACTTCAGTCGTAAGACCCAAGCAAATGAAAGAGTCAAGGCCTCAAGACCACATTCTCCTGTGAAGGTCCTTGGTGGGGAATTCATATGATGGTGCCTCACTGGTGAATGTAGGAAGCCAGAAGGAATTCATACACGGTCCGCCAAAAGTATTGTAGGGATTTGTCTATTGAATAACTTCTGAAATATCAGTGACATTATTTGTCTCTTTTTTTAGGTTGTAGAGTGGGCCTTAGAGTTTTATGATGAATCGTTTGACAGTCGAAAAACATGCAGCAATTGTGGGGCTTTACTTTTTTAACGGACACTCCATCCTCGAAGCTCAGTGCGCTTACCATTGATGGTTTCTTTGAAGCAACTTCTGAACATGATATTCATTGGTGCATTGCACAATTTCGTGGTGGTGTTGCTGAACAGCCACAATCCAGAAGACCTCGCAGCAGCTGAAATTCGCAACACGTGGAGACTGTTCACCAGGTAATTCAGGAAAATCAGTGCATTGTCTATCTCAGGAGTTAGGAATATCCAGAACATCACTGCATCGCATTTAATCGAAAGAATTACACTTCAACCCACATAAAATTCAGCTTGTGCAAGATCTGCATGGATGGATGGCGTTCCTCTCCTCGATGCACTCATTACTTGGGACTTCCCAGAATTATCTGACAAATAGTCTCTACATGTTCTGAACTTCTACAAGCTATGAGGTCTTCTGGATCATGGTTGATGTGCAACACCTCCATTGGCATGAAAATGTGCAACCCACCAACGAATAACATGTTCAGAAAGTGCTTCACAAACACCAAACCGTTGACGGTAGAAATGCTGAGCTTCAAAGATGGAGTGTCTGTTAAAAAAGTAATGCTCCATAATTGCTGCATGTTGTTCGACTGTCCAACGGTTTATCATGAAACTCTAAGGCCCATTCTACAACCTAAAAAAAGAGAAAAATAATACCAATGATATTTCAGAAGTTATTCAATATACAAATCCCTACACTACTTTTGGCTGGCCCTGTACATTGTTACTTGCATAATCCAGGCTGGATATCCTGAGAAGCTATGAGGGGTGTCCACAAAGTTTCTGCAAACATCTAATAATGGCTCCCTTTGCCCTCAAAATAATCAGTTTGAATTTATGCACTTCTGCCATCTGGAGGGCAAATATTGTATACCCCTTCTGTAGAAACCTGTGTCTCGTTGTAGCATCCATTAAAAAAATGCAAAGTATCGTTATTTTTCTGTAGGCTGTTGCCAGCCACCCATCATACAGCCTAGACATAGCCCCCTCTATCATCAATTTGGCCAGTTGAAGGACCAACTTCGTGAAATGTGCTTCTTCAGTGGTGAAGATCTTCAAAATTCTGCAAAACAGTGTCTATAACAATAAGATACAGACTTCTACAAAAGGGGTATACAATCTCTGTCCTCCAGATGGCAGAAGTACATAAATCCAAATAGTGATGATTTTGGGGGCTAAGGAAGGTGTGATATTTCTGTGTACCGATATTGGTAGTGATGAAAATACTGGTTTAGATTTTATTAGATATTTGCGGAAAATTTTCGAACACCCCTCGTAATACTGAGAGTGTGATGTCATTGGCCTGACTTGTGTATTTGTGAGATGTTCAAGTTTGGAAGTTGGCCTGTCTTGTCACATATCAGTGAATTGCTTCTCAACATTGCATGCACTACATCAGCTGAGTAACCTGGAAATGAGAGGCATGGTGCCCAGCAGAAACCTGGTCTCTATTCATATGGCAAGTTTGAATCAATGCAACCTGTCACTAACCTCTGATACTCTTTCTTTAATTTTTCCACTCCATTACTTCATTGTTTTCATGTGATATTGGTTGCACGTTTTCCCTTTAATCTTTTCCCTTTATCCATTAATTCTTTTGATGAATTGAGGTCATTAGAGAGCTAAGAATTGCTTCATCTTCCCCAGAGCCTGTTTCTTGAGAGACTAAATACGTTAATAATGACTTCATATTCTGAACTTCAGGTGGGGATTCCTTCATGATTGATTTAATGAAATCCATTTTAGACCTACAACATGCAATTTAGCAACCCTTGTGTTTGTGAAAGGTGAGTGTATTCAGAATAAAGAGAATTTCCGCATTCATGTATATGAGTCACCCTTCCAAAGTGCAGCATACCAAAAATTCAATCAGAAATAGTGAAAACCATTCTTCAAAGGCATTCACCTTTAATCAAGAAATTGTTAGACGTCCTCTGTGAGATGTCTTCATTGCCCCAGCATTAAACCCTACAGGCATAAATAACCTGTAAATTTAAGGGGTGGTCTTTGCAGCAGGAAAGCAAGTGCAGGGCAGACTTTAAAATGTCTGTGGTTAAGATCTTCCTATGATAATAGTGGTAGAGAGGGGAGGGATTGAAGAAAGGGAAAGCCTTTGAAAAATGGTTTTCACATTACTACACGAAGCCTATGGCTCAGCCTATAGCTAGATGGACCTGGCGCTAAAAGCGTTGGAGGTCCAGGCTAATGGCCTAGAATAGCATAGCCTGAAGAACCTGGCGCTTTCAGAGGTGGATGGCCTAGCATTTAGCCTGAAGTGACAGTCTTGTAGGCCACGCGGGCTGGAGTGACAACCACCACCACCACCACAACTCTCAGGCTCTTCGAATTAAAGTATTAGATCATTGCGAAAATGTATTCGGTTCTTACATTCCAAAGAGAATGGTTCTGGCTTTGTTTAGTGAAACTGCACTGATGGGGGACAATGGGCTGGATCCGCTCAAGACTGTGCATGCTTTCTGCAACAATGTGTCGGTAACGATCGATGGGATAACGATGCATAGCGCAAACCTTGATCCCGAAACGAATGCCTTCACACAACCCTACCTTCTTACAATGGATGCCGTCGGAAATGTCAATATGGAATTAGATTTCAAGTCCCATGGAACTCGTCGTTTCATAATTTGTTTCGACTTCAGTTCAAACCACAATGGCGATCCGGTACACTCAGAGCAGCCTCTATTTAGAACTGACTACCTAAAGTTAGGAATGTCCTTTGCGAAAGCATTAGAAAATAACCTGGTACTAACACTCATGGGTTACTTTGATACAGATATCGAGGCAACCAGAGACCGACAAGTATTTACGAGATTACCTCTTTGAACATATACTCAGAGTATAAATGGGGAAATCTCGCAGTGAAGTCCTGCAAAATGGATTCGCACACGATCGATGCAGTTTTGAGACACCATCCTGCTTGTTTGGGAAAATATTACGGGACCTATGCATCCGTTCAATTGAAAAAACTATCCTCAAATTTCCCAGCATGTATCATTTCCAACTGTTGTAGTCAAGAGAAACGTGGGCGACATTTCGTTGCAATGTTCCTCGAGAAAAAGGGTCAAGTGGAGTTTTTTGATGGCCTCGGTCAGTTTCCAGGTTTTTAAGGAGATGCATTTGAAAGATTCGTGAGCGAGCATGGGAGAAAATCAGCTGTCTGCAACGACGTTCAAGTTCAGAGCTCAAGCGCCAAAATATGTGGGGTTCGTGTCAAATACCTCATTCATCGATGTCTCGATCGCAACATGAAAGAGATTTATCCTCCCCATCTTCCCCCATCATTTCATGACACAATTGTGAATCGTTTTTTGCTGACACTCAGAAATAAATAAATAAATTGCATATATGCAGTTTCATTTGGAAATTCAGGATGTGAACATGGCTCTGAGTAAAATCTTTTTTTCGTTTACACAAACCCTGCAGTGGGCAGTGTTAACACATTGTCTGGTTCACATTAGAGTGATGAAAATGGCCATGGACTGGTTCGCACATCATTAGGCTAATGGGAATGGTCATGGAGTAAATGTTTCTCTTCCTATTCCCCATAGCTGTCAACATATGCTGATTTTGGAAAAAGTAAAAGCTACAATCACTATTTTAAAAAGCAAAAAGCCATAAATGCATCACCTCTAAGCGATTTTTCACTCTGCCAGTTTCTCACTTCCTCTTTCTGCGTGATCTTGCCTCTGCTACAACATACTCCTGAGTTCCGTAAGTTTGCAATGATTCAAATACTCCCATTACTTACTGGGAGTTTTCTAATCTCAACTTTCCTATCTCCCTTTCCATAGGTGATGCTCTTCCTCACTTATATTTTGAAATTTCAAAATCCATTAGATTGCAATACATTTAAGCTATGGCTAAAAGATTGTGTCGGGGGTGTTGTGGATGTAGAAGGCTGAAAGAGAGGTTGCCTTATTTCTGCGCCCCTCTGGGGTCACAGTTGGGCTCAGGAGAGAGGTGGTAGTTGCATGGTTAAGAAATATCCCATGCAAAATTTTCACGTGGGTAGGCGATGTAGGAACTGAAGAAACACTTTTGTCTGCTGTGAAGACTGCAGAAGAAATGCAAGCAAATTAGTAAGCTCATCACGAATCTCTTCCCACATTCCATTTTCACATTTTAAATAATTAATATACCTTTCATTTACAGTTATGATGAAAATTGGGATGTTGCAAAGGAAGAGGGAGGAGGAAAAAGTGAAAACAATTAAATACTCGCAAATTCCCCAACATTCCACTGTTCCTTCATGAATAAAAAATCAGAGTAATCTACCATTGATATTCACTTAAAAAATGCAAAATCATTAAAAATGTAACCAGAGATATGTTTAACACATCCAGTCATTCACGTGGAGACACTCATGGCCAGCGTCATTCAAGCTTTCTCCCGTGACAGCTTTTTTCAGATCTAGGATCATTAATTCATACTTCATCTCCTTACTAGGATCATGTACGTCATCAGGGTGCACTCTGCAGGGGAGATGATGCGATGGTGCTGTTATCATTACTGGCGCATGCGAAATTGGAGGTGACTTCTCCACATGCTATCGTACTCACTCTCGAAGGAGATGATCGACTCCGGTAGAAGACCATTGAAGAGAAACTCGGGAGCCTACGTTCATCCGTGAGATGGCATGAAGACGACGCGGACACCGAAAAAAGTATCAAGACGGAGGAAGTCGGAGCCAAATACAGGGTGGGTAAAAAAAAACCGGTCCTCTTCTTTGAGACCTTTTATTGACAAAAAAATGCAAGAAAAAAAATTCAAACCTGACTACACGGAACTTCAATCAATTATCTGTCTCGTGCTATAAAGTTTTTTCTAGATATTTCAAGAGAAAGCATAACATTCAGCACTTGAAAAAAATTTGTCATGCAGAAAAATCGTTTTTCCATGTGCATTTCCTTGCGTCACCTGGTGGAGTCACGAGCCGGTTGCCGGCTTCGCTGGTGCGCCCATCAAGCACCCCACATTCCTATGACATTTCCCCCCTGCCCCCTTTATTCTCGTTAGACCGGTTTCAGTTCCCCCTCCCTCATCAAATGCTCAATCTGCCTATTCTTCATTCATTCCATTTTTCATTCTTTTGATCAGCCAGCAATGAGCGTGCTAGCTTCGCCCTTCGGCCTTGAGCAACTTCTTGGCTGATGGCGTGATCGGCAGCTGCTCACTCCGCGGTCACCAGTTCTTGTCTGCGTTTCTTTGTCTTTTTTGTTTATTGTGATTTTATTCATATTCTTGACTTGATAAATTCATTATAACTTTTTTTTGCCCATCCAGAATGGTTTAACTGATAGTGACAAATGCATTATCCAAGCACTTCGCGAAGAAAAAGGATACTCTCTGAACAAGATTCTTCAAGAATATCCCAGCCGACAGTGGAAGAAGAGTACTGTCATTGATTTTCTGAAAAAACTGAGAGGTACTGGAAGCGGGAAACGTCGACCTGGAAGTGGCCGCCCAAAAACTGTTAGGACTGATGAAAATGTCCAAGCAGTTGAAGATTTGATTCTAAGCCAGGAAGGACGACCAGGGACTAGCATGAGTGTGCGACAAGTGGCTAAAGAAACTGGCATAGACCGTTCATCTGTGCGTCGAATTGTAAAAAAATACTTGAATCTGAAAGCTTTCAAGAGAGTGACCGTCCAAGAACTGTCAGTGCCAGGGAAGAAGAAACGCCTGGACCGTTGCAAACGTCTTCTTGAGCGCTTTCCAACACCGGAGTCAGTGAAAAAAATTTGGTTCTCTGATGAAAAACGTTTCACTGTTGTTACGCCGCGTAACACACAAAACGACCGCGTGCATGCTGCTGTGAAAAAGAAGTCTGAAATTGTTCCTGAGAGACTGCTGGGAGAGAGGAGCTACTTCTCTGAATCAGTGATGGTTTCCTTGGCAGTGTCTTCGCGTGGAAAAACTAAGATTTTCTTCATTCCCCGAGGTGTGAAGATAAACTCTCAGAACTACCGTGAAGAACTTCTTTCAGAAATGCTGCCCGAAATTGAAGATGTGATGCACGATTACACCTTCATGCAAGACGGTGCTCCTGCCCATACCGCTCTGGCAACAATTCAGTGGCTTCGTGAAAACTGTCCTGATTTCATCGAACCTGAAAATTGGCCGCCCAATAGCCCTGACTTAAACATAGTCGATTATTTTGTGCGGTCCGCGTTGGAAGAGAAAGTGTATCGCGGGCAAAAAATCCGGTGTGTCGATGAACTGAAGGAACGAATCCTGGTAGCATGGGAAGAACTTTCACATGGCTCTATTGCCACTGCCATCCTCAAGTGGAAAGGGAGGTTGAAGGCAGTTATTCGGCAGAAAGGTGGCCATATTGAGCCATACGTCAAACGATGAGCTTGTGCTAAACTTGCGTTGGTTTTGTATTTCTTGTGTTTGAACGTGAAAAGGCTCTGTGCTTTGTAAAAAAGCGTGATTTTCAACTTTTTTCACCGGAAAGTATTTTTCAAATCAATTTTTTGGTGTTTTTCGGCGGAACTCAATTGCAACTGATGTCATTGGAAAGCGAATTAAATTAACTTTCATTTTTGTTAAATTCTTCTAGCTCAATTTGGGACCGAGATATAAGGTTTCAAAGTAGAGGACCGGCTTTTTTTGACCCACCCTGTATAATGTTGTCTGGTAATACCATTCTATACCTCATGCAATTTTAAAAAATCCCTGTATGCATTTTTAATCAGAGACTCAGGCATTCTTTCCATCCATACTAGTTAACTTTTTCACTGAAATAATATTTGTATATGTTACTTGCTGTATATTCTTTTCATTCTCTTCACAAAAACGATAGAGGCTAAAGAGAGCCATTTTCCCAGACTCCTACTAATGTTCCAACTACATGTCTTCAAATCCCTTTATAAGTTCTTCCGCTCTCATAAACACAAGGTTGGATTGCTTCCATTCACATCACAATCATCAATATCAATCATAAAACTTGTCAATACTTTCCCTTCTTCTTCGTATATCGTGCCTATTGAGGTAGAGATTGGCAATAAGTGAATTGTAATAAAGTTTCCTTTTCCATCAACGCATATTTTCTAGTCTTATTTGGCTGCTCCATCTCCTCCACACGTCCGGGACCGTTTGTGAAAGGCGATCCTGTCAGTGGGTTTTGTATAGTTTCTTTCACGAAAGTCACGCCGCCCCCCCCCCCCTTCCGACTCAGGCCATGGATGTAAACAGTGTATGAATGGAATGCAGAACTCGGAGAAAATCCTATTTTTGAGGTACATACTCTGGGGGTACACCTTTTTGGGGGAGAAGTTGTTAAATATATATTGTGACAGATGAGGATGGCATGGAGAGAGTCTCCTGCATGTCCGGGTTCGGTGGTGTAGTGGTAGGGCACCTGACCGGCAATCAGGAGGCAGGGGATCAATTCCCGGCCATTCCTTGTCCTTATTTAGACTTTTCATACCTTCCAAGTCCTGTTACTCAATCCCCCGCTGTAACGGTATCTTTATTGAGTGAAAAGAAAAGAAAAGGAAGCTGAAACTTTGCATGAATGTGACGGTTGAGACAAGGAGTTAGAGTGAAATGTTAAGTACAGCCCCTGGCGACATTTTTTCAAGGGAAGCTACTTTAAAAATGAATTTTTATCGAGGCGGATTGGACAGAAATGGAAAGGTTAAACATTGCACATATATAAGTGACATGATATTGAGTTAAGGGAGAATTCAGGTTTCCTGGGGCATCCCCTACAGGCATAATTTTGGGTGGGCTGACTTTTTCAAACATGTTTTCTCACCAGCGAAAAGAGCAAATGTATATGGTTGAGACTTTGTGGGAATGAAGTTCTCCAAGGATTGATTTCGTTAAAATAAATCAGTTAAAATACCTCAGGGTAAATATTTCGCAAAATGCGTATTTTCCCGATTTTTCTGATCCAGCAAAACATAGGTCACAAAAAAGTTAATACTAGGAAAAGAAGTACCTGATGGATAGCAGAGTAAAGAAAAAAATATACTTTTATTATCTAACTAGCGAGTTTGTTTGCCCTTCGGGCAAACAAACTCGCTTTGGTTGAGCCTTCGGCGCTCCATTACCTTGGAGAGTCATTAATTCGTTTATTCCTTCCGAAATGGGAAACACGAATTTAAAGTACGTCCCCATTGAAATACGTGATATATGGTGACAAAAGCCTTGATTTTTATCAAAATCTTTATCTATATGATTTATATAGTGCCTAACTTGAAATCTTTTCTTATGTCCCTTTTTGTAAAGGTGGAGAATAAATCTTGAAATACTTCCATCCTATAATCTACGGTAAGGGAACATTTTTCAAAAGTTGGATTTTTCCTCTCCTCAGCCTTCAAACAGGCCCTTCTGAGGGAGGTTTAAGGTCTGTTTCGTTCCATCAAAAACAAAATCAGGAAAATGGGACTGAAAAAATGCCCTGAGGGGTGTTAACGAATTTTTTTTTCTTTTGAAATGTAGACTCAGGGAACTCCATGCCATCAAATTTCAGCCTTATACGTTCCCCCTTTTTGTTGGCAAAAAAAAATATTTTTTGAAAAACGACTCACCGAAAAGCTGCGCTCTGAGGAGACGCACAGCAATAATTGCCTTTTTGCTTAAATCAACTTTACGGCTGTTATGCGTGCGCCAGATACTTCCTATTTCTGCCCGATTCGGTAGAATATGAAAAATACTTTGGAAACGTTACCTTCCCAAGAAATACGAACCCCAAAATCATTTTGGAAATTTATTTTTATTCTGAAGTATAGACTCAGGGAACTCCATGCCACCCAGTTTCAACCTGATACGTTTCCCCTTTTTGCTGGCGGTAAGAAAATATATTTGGGAAAGCAATCCACCCAAAAGCTGTAGTCTGGGGAGACGCTTAACAAAAATTGCTATTTTCCTTAAATCAACATCACATCCGTTATGCTTGCGCCAGCTGCTATTTTTCTATTTCTGCCCGTTTCGCTAGGACATGAAAAATTCTTTGGAAACGTTACGTCCGCAAAAAATATTCCCCCAAAAAATATTTCGGAAATTCGACATTTGACATTTGAGCTGAGTGCTTCAGGAGTCAAGTCCTTGCCATGTTATAGCTTTCCATGGGTCTCCGTTTAATTGAAGCAAAGATAAATATTTGAAAGTATGTTCCCCGAAAAGTTGTGCCCCTTTGGCGTGCATCACCAAAGTGGAATATTTCCTGAACTCTCCCCAGGGATGTATCAAGGATCAACATTTCTCTTTAACTCCTTATCTTGGTAATCACATTCATCCAAAATTCCAGCTTTCCATTTCGATCGGTTTAACTAATGCAAAAAATTATGTGAAAACATCTCCCTTTGAAATTCATGCCCAAGGGCATTTCATTCCAAAGTCTGAATTTTTCTGCATGCGGCATCCCGGTAGGTCATTAAGTACCAAGTTTAATCCTTCACACTAGCTCAATACACCAGGCCAAAGAAATACTTGAAAACGTCAGCCCCCCTAGAATATGCCCCCCAGGGCATGGATCTAATGAGTTGCATTTTTCCTGAACTCATCGTTTCGTTAGGCACGTCCATGCCACGTTTTAGTTTTCCATTTCTCTCCATTTTATCTAAGCAACGGGACAAGGAAGGCCATAGAAGAAAAATTAAGCCATGGTTTCAGTGAGAATTGAACACGGGCCTCCTGATCATCTGCCAGATGTGTTACCACTACACCACCGAAACAGGACATGGCAAACGTATTTTTTCCATCATTATATATATTTTTAAAAAACTTCTCCCCCAAAAATATGTACCCCTACAGGCATGTAACTCCATAGTCGGATTTTTTCTGAACTCTGGATCCCAAAAGGTACATGTGTACCAAGTTTCAGATTTCTAACCTCTCTGGAACTTGGTTAGAATTAGTGTGAGTCAGTCAGTCAGTCACGATCGTCTATATATATTAGACATATAATAAGAAATTGTCTTGGCGAATTGGGCAGAAATGGAAAGGTGAAACTTGGCACATGTATAAATGACGTGATATTATTGAGTTGAGGGAGTATTCAGCTTTCATGGGGCATCCCCTCTGGGCATTGCTCTTGGGTGGGTCGGCATTTCCAAACATGACTTTTCACCAGCAAAAAAGGCAAACGTATCATATTGAAACTTTGTGGGCATGTAGTTCACTGAGGTTTGATTTTGGTAAAACTAGTACTTTTCGGTTATAACGCCCGAGGGAAGATATTTTGTAAATTTCCATACATTTTCTGATCCAGCAAAACGGAGGGTGCTGGAAAGTTTAAATTTGACAAAGAAGTACCCGAGGAATAGCTCAGTTAAGAAACAATTCTACTTTCATTTTATATATAGATTATCGTGAGTAGCTGACTGAATGACATAAGTAGCTATTCACATGCTGAATTCAGGAAAAATTCCACTTTGGTGATAAACGCCATAGGGGCACACCTTTTCAGGGAACATATTTTCAAATAGTTTTCTTTGCTTCAATCAACCGGAGCCCCATGGAAAGTTGAACCATGTCAAGGACGTTACTGGTGAAGCACTCAGCACAAATGTCAAATGTGAAATTTCCAAAATATTTTTGGGGGCGTATTTTTTGGGGAGGTATTTTTTTCAAAGAATTTTAAATATCCTAGCGAATCGGGCAGAAATTGTATAGTAGCAGTTGGCGCACGCATAAAGGACATAATGTTGATTTAAGGAAAAAATTTGTTGAGCGTCTCATCAGAGCACAGCTTTTTGGGTGGGTCGCTTTTCGAAAAAATACATTATTTTACCGCCAGAAAAAGGGGAAACGTATAAGGCTGAAACTGGATGGCATGTGGTTGGAGCAGATGCTAGCGAGTTTGTTTCCCCGAAGTACAAACAAACTCGCTAGTTAGATATATAGACGATCGTGACTGACCGACTGACTGACTGACGGTAATTCTAACTATATTCCAGAAAGGTTAGATATCTGAAACTTGGTACACATGTACCGTTTCGGTTGCAGTGTTCAGAAAAAATCCGACATTGGAGTTACATGCCCTAGGGGTACATATTTTGGGGGGAGAAGTTTTTTTTAAATATATATCATGATTGAAAAAAATACGTTTGCTGGTACGATGGTGTAGCGGTAACACATCGGGCTGATGGTCAGGAGGCCCGTGTTCAATTCTTACCAATACCATACCTTTATTCTTCTTCTTTTGCCTTCTATGTCCCATTGCTTGGATAAAACGGAGAGAAATGGAAAATTAAAAGGTGGCATGGACGTGCCTAACGAAACGATGAGTTTAGGAAAAATGCAACTCATTAGATCCATGCCCTGGGGGGCATATTCTAGGGGGGCTGACGTTTTCAAGTATTTCTTTGGCCTGGTGTATTGAACTTGTGCGAAGGATGAAACTTGGTACTTAATGACCTACCGGGATGCCGCATGCAGAAAAATTCAGACTTTGGAATGAAATGGCCTGGGGGCATGAATTTCAAAGGGAGATGCTTTCACATAATTTCATGCATTAGTTAAACCGATCGAAATGGAAAGCAGGAACTTAGGATGAATGTGATTACCGGGATAAGGAGTTAAAGAGAAATGTTGATCCTTGATACATCCCTGGGGAGAGTTCAGGAAATATTCCACTTTGGTGATGCACGCCATAGGGGCACACCTTTTCGGGGAACATACTTTCAAATAGTTCCCTTTGCTTCAATTAAACGGAGACCCATGGAAAGCTGTAACATGGTAAGAACGTGACTCTTGAAGCACTCAACTCAAATGTTAAATGTCGAATTTCCTAAATATTTTTGGTGGGCATATTTTTTGGGGACGTAACATTTAAAAATAATTTATTATCCTAGCGATTCGGGCAGAAATAGAAAAATAGCAGCTGGCGCAAGCATAACAGACGTGATGTTAATTTCAGGAAAATTTCAACCTTTTTTTAGCGTCGCCCCAGACCACAGCTTTTGGGTGGGTTGCTTTCCCAATCATAATTTCTTTCCGCCAGCAAAAAGGGGAAACGTATCAGGTTGAAACTGGGTGGCATGGAGTTTCCTGAGTGTACATTTCAAAAGAAAAAAAATTTCGTTAAAACCCCTCAGGGCATTTTTTCAGTCCCATTTTCCTGATTTTGTTTTCGATTGAACGAAACAGACCTTTAACCTCCGTCAGAAGGGCCTGTTTGAAGGCTGAGTAGAGGAAAAATCCAACTTTTGAAAAATGTTCCCTTAGCGTAGATTATAGGATGGAAGTATTTCAATATTTATTCTCCACCTTTACAAAAAGGGACACAAGAAAAGATTTCAAGTTAGGCACTATATAAATCACATAGATTAAGATTTTGAGAAAAATCAAGGTTTTTGTCGCCATCCATCACGTATTTCAATGGGGACCTACTTTAAATACGTGTTTCCCATTTCGGAAGGAATGAATGAATTAATGACTCTCCAAAGTAATGGAGCGCCGAAGGCTCAACCAAAGCGAGTTTGTTTGCTCGAAGTGCAAACAAACTCGCTAGTTTAATATATATAGACGATGGAGACTGACTGACGGAATGACGCTAATTCTAACTAATAATGTTCTTCTAATAATGTTCTAGAAGGGCTAGACATCTGAAACGTAGTACATATGTACCTTTTGGGATGCCGAATTCAGAAAAAATCCGACTTTGGAGGTGAATGCCTCGCGGGTACAAATTTTGGGGGAAAACTTTTTTATGAATATTTTTTGTGACAGATGAGGATGACATTCAGAGAGTCAACTGGATGTCCTGGGTTCTGTGGTGTAGTCGTAGCATATCTAACTGGTAGTCAGAAGGTCCAGGTTTAATTCCCGGCCATAACTTGGCCTTCGTTGGTTATTTTGCCTTCCATGTCCTGTTACTCAATCCCCCTGCATAACATCATTTTTGCTTGAGTAGAACGGAAAGACATGAAAAGCAGAAACTTGGCATGGACGTGCCAAATGAGACGATGTGTTCAGGAAAAATGCAAAATTGTAGATTCATGCCCTGGTGGCATATGTTTGTGAGCCGACGTTTTCAAGATCTTTTTTGTCATTTCGTATTAAGCGGAGTGGAAAGATGCAACTTGGTACGTAACTACCTATTGGGATGCTGCAGAAAACTTCAAACTTTAGAAATAAATGTCCTGCGGGCACACATTTCAAATGGAGATGTTTTCAACTAATTTTTTTGCATCTGTTAAACTGGTGAACATAGAAAGCTGAAACTTTGTATGAATGTGACTACTGACACAAAGAGTTAAATGAAAATGTTAAGTCTTGAAAAAATTCCCCCATGGAATGTATTACATGGGGGAATTTTTTTCGAGGTGCGATGTTTTGAAAAAAAATTGGCATGGCGAATTTTAAATAAATGGAAAGGATAAACTTGGCACGCATATCAGTGACATGATACTAGTATTACTGAGCTGAGGGAGTATTCAGCTTTCATGGTGCATCCCCTTCGGGCATAGCTTTAAGGTGGGTTGGCTTTTCAAAGCATGTTTTTTCACCAGCGAAAAGGGCAAATGTATAATATTGAAACTTTCGGGACATGTACATCATCGAGCAGACAAAGAAAAGTAGCTGGCGTACGCATCCATGACGTGATGTTGGTTTAAGGAAAAATTAAACTTTTTTCTACGTCTCCTCAGAGCACAGCTTTTTGGTGGGTCGCTTTTCCAAATATATTTTTTTTCGGCCAGCAAAAAGGGGAAACATATAAGGCTGAGACTGGGTGACATGGAGTTCCCTGATTATACATTTCAAAATAATAATAAAAATTAGTTAACACCTATTAGTGCAATTTCTTCAGTCTCATTTTCCTGATTTTTTTGATACAACGAAACAGAGACAGGAAGTATAAACTTCCCTCAGAAGTACCTGTTTGATAGCTGAGTAAAGGAAAAATCATAATTTGGAAATATATCTCCTAAGCGCAGATTACTGGAGGGAAGTCTTTCAAACTGTATTCACCACCCTTACAAAAAGGGACACAAGAAAAGATTTCAAGTTAGACACACAGAATCATAGAGGTAATGATTTTGATGAAAAAAATCAAGACATTCGACCCCATATGTCACGTATTTCTATGGGGACGTACTTTAAATACGTGATCCCCATTTCGCAAAAAATGAATGAATCAATCACTATCCAAGGTAAGGGAGCGCCGAAGGCGCGGCAATTGCGAGTTTATTTGCCCGAAGGGCAAACAAACTCGCTAGTACAGTATATAGTTCATTGTGACAAGCTGACGGGCCAACATAATTAGCTATTCACATGCCGAGTTAACTAAAAATTCTACTTTGGTGATACATCCCATAGGGGTGCACCTTTTCGGGGAACTTTTCGGGGCACCTTTTTCTGCAAGTCCCATTTTCCAAAATTTTTTTTAATCCAGCAAAATAGAGACAGAAAATTTAAATGTCCCTCATAAGTACCTGTTTGATGGCTGAGTACAGGAAAAATCTTACTTTTGAAATATGTCACCTTAGCTTAGAGTATAGAGGGAAGTATTTCAAAATGTATTCTTCACCCTTACCAAAAGGGACATATGAAAATACTTAAAGTTAGGCGCACTAGAAATCATGGAAGTAATGATTTTGATAAATATCCAGACTTTCATCCCTATATGTTACGTATTTCAATGGGGACGTACTTTAAATACGTATTTGCCATTTCGCAAAGCATAAATGAATTAATCACTATCTATGGTAATGGAGCGCCGAAGGCGCGACCACAGTTAGTTAGCTAGTTATATGTACGATAGTGACTGACTGACGTTCATTTTAACCATGTTCATGCACTTATTTCAAGGAAACCAGCATTGAAATACTTAGCCTATAAGGTCGAAAGCCTTCATTTTTAAAAATCAAATTCTTTACTTCTATGAATCTGTGTGTTCCTAACTTCAAATCTTTTGTTCTGTTCCTTTTAGTAAGGGTGGAGAATATATTTAGAAATACTTCATTCCTATAATCTACGCTAAGGAGACACATTTCAAAGGTAGGATATTACCTGTATTCAGCCAATAAATAGGTACTTCTGAGGGAAGTTTAAATGTTATGTCTCCGTTTCGTTATATAAAAAAATTGCAGGAAAATGGGAATTAAAAAAAAGAGCCTCATGGATTTTAGCGAAAATTGTTCTCCTTCTGAAATAGAGACTGAGAAACTTGGGACCATGCCACCCAGTTTCATCCTCAGGCGTTTCCCCTTTTTGATTCAGCGTCAGTCACGATCGTCTATACAGCATATATTACAAAAGTATAATTTTTTTTATGCAGGAGTCCATCAGGTACTTATCTGCCAGGTATTTTTTTTTAACTTTCATGCGCCCTCGGTTTTGCTGGATCAGAAAACTTGTGAAAATAAGGCCTTTTGCAAAATATATGCTCTGAGCCGTTTTAACCGAAACGTACCATTTTTTTCTCATCAAAATCCATCGCCAGTGAACAACATACCCACAACGTTTCAATATTATACGTTTGCCTTTTTTCGGATACGTTTGCCTTTTTTCGGTCGGCTTTTCCAAACATCCTTTCGGATGTTTGGAAAAGCCGACCAACCCTAGTGATATGCCAGGAGGGGAAGCACCATGAAAGCTGAATACTCCTTCAACTCAGTAACATCATATCACTTATATGTGTGCCACGTTTCGCCTTTCCATTTCTTTCCAATTCGCTACGGCAACTTTTTTTTTCAAAACCTCCGAAAAATTATCCCACAGGATATATCAAAACTTAACATTTTTATTGAAGTCCTTTTCTCAGTTGTCACATTCATGCAAAGTTTCAGCTTTCCATGTTCATCCGTTTCACTGATGAAAAAAAATTAGTGGAAAACATCCCAATTTGAAATATTTACACCCAGGATTTTTATCGAAATCATTACTTCTATAATTCTGTGTGGGCCTAACTTCAAATATTTTCTTCGGTTCCTTTTAATAAGGGCGGAGAATATATTTTGAAATAATTCCCTGCTATAATCTACGCTAAGGACACACATTTTAAAAGTAGGATATTACCTGTACTCATCCATCAAACAGATATTATAGGGGGAATTTTAAATTTTCTTTCGCTGTTTCGTTGGATCAAAATAAAATCAGGAAAATGGGATTGAAAAAAGTGCCAGAATTGGTTTTCACGAATTTTTTTTTCTTTTGAAATGTAGACTCAGGGAACTCCATGCCACCCAATTTCAGCCACATACCTTTCTCCTTTTTGCAGACGAAAAAAAAAGTATTTTAAAAAGCGACCCACCCAAAAGCTGTGCTCCTAGGAGACGCATAAAAAGTTTAATTTTTCCTTAAATCAACATCACGTGAGTGATGCTTGCACCAACTACTTTCCTATATCTGCCAAGCGAACTACATGCCCACAAATTTCAATATTATCCGTTTGCCCATTTCGCTAGTGAAAGAACATGCTTTGAAAAGCCGACCCACGCAAAAGATATGCCCCATGAAAGCTAAGAACGCCCTCAGATCAGTAATATCATGTCATTTATACTTGTGCCAAGATTCACCTTTCCATTTCTGCCAAATTCGCCACAACAATTTTTTTTTAAACATCGACACTCGAAAAAACTCAACCAGGGGATGTATCGAGACTTAACATTTTTATTTAACTCTTTGTCTCAGTAGTCACATTCATTCAACGTTTCAGATTTCCATCTCCAACAACTGGTTTAACTGATACAAAAATATTAGGTGAAAACATCTACTCCACTACCATCCAATTGACTCTCTATATGCCATCCTCATCTGCCACAAAATGTTCAAGAAACGCGTTTCTCCCTAAAAATTTGTACCACGAGGGCATATACCTATGAGGTCAGTTTTTTTGGTGAACTCTGCATCCCAAAGGTACGTGTGTACCAAGTTTCAGAGTTCTAACCCTTCCAGAGCATGGTTGGAAGAGCGTCATTCAGTCAGACAGTCACAATCGTCTATATATATTACATGAGGTCGAAAGACTTGATTTTTATCAAACTCTTTGCTTCTATGATTCTAGGTGTGCCTAACTTTAAATCTTTTATTGTGTCCCTTTCAGTAGGGGTGTAAAATACATTTAGAAATACTTCCCTCCAATTATCTACGCTAAGGAGACATATTTCAAAAGTACGATTTTGCCTGTACTCAGCCATTAAACAGATACTCCTGAGGGAAGTTAAAATTTTCCGTCTGTTTCGTTGGATCAATATTAAATTCTGGAAAATGGGATGGGAGTGCCTTGATGGGTTTTAGCGAACATTTTTTTTCTTCCGAAATGGAGACTGAGGGAACTCCATCCCAGTTTCAGTCTTTTACGTTTCCCCTTTTTAAATTAGCCTCAGTCCGTCAGTCACGATCGTCAATATATTAGTATATTAGAAAATTAGAATTTTTTCTTTACGCAATTATCTATCACGTACTTATTTACCATGTTTTTTTTTAATTTCATGCACCCATTGTTTGGCTGAAACAGAAAATTGGTTGAAAACACGCTTTTTTTTGCAAAATACGTGCCCTGAGCCGTTTTAACCGAAACATACCATTACTTTCTTACCGAAATCCATCCTCAGTAAACAACATGCCCAGATCGTTTCAATGTCATACGCTTGCCCTTTCAGCTGGTGAAAAAACATGTTTGGAAAAGAACCCCCTCCCTAACGCTATGCCCATCGGGGATGCAACATGAAAGCTGAATACCCCCTTAGCTCAGTAATATCTTGTCAGTAATATATGCGCCAAGTTTCGCTTTTCATTTCTGCCCAATTCGCGACGACAATCTTTTTTTCAAACATCGCCCTTCAAAAAAATTACATCTTAATTTTTACTTAACAAATTACTACTCCACATGTTTATTTAACTCTGTCTCAGTAGTCACATTCATGCAAAGTTTCACCTTTCCCTGCTCTTCAGTTTACCTGATACAATAAAATAGTTGAAAACATCTCCCTATGAAATTTCTGCCCCTAGGGCATTTACTGCTTAAGTTTGAAAAATTGTTGGAGCATTCCAATAGGTAGTTATGTACCAAGTTTCATCTTCCACACTAGCTTAATACGCCAGGACAAAAAATACATGAAAACGTCCGCTCAGAATTATATGACCTGGGGCATGAAGTAAAAATTTTTCATTTTTCCCGAAGTCATAATCTCGGTAGGCACGTACATGCCAAGTTTCATATTTCCATTTCCCTCCTTTTCACAGGAGCAAAATTAAAATAATGGTGGGGGAATGAATAACGGGAAATGGAGGGCAAAAAAGCTAATAGAAACACATGGAATGGCCGGGAATTGAAGACGGACCTTCTAATTGCCAGTCAGAGAAGCTTCTACTACATCACCGAATACAGGACATCAAGGAGTGTCTTTGCAAGCCATCCTCATCTTTCACAAAATATGATTGAGATAAATGTTTCCCCAGAAAATTCTTACCCCCCCTTCATGTACTTCCAAAGTGGGATTTTTTCTGAACTCTGCATCCCAAAAGGTACATGTATACAGAGTTTCAGATTTCTAACCCTTCTAGAACACGGTTAGAATGAGCGTCAGTCAGCCAGTCAGTCAGTCACGATCGTCTATATAAGTTTAAAACTAGGGAGTTTGTTTGCCCTTCAGGCAAACAAACTAGCTATGGTCGCTATGGAAATAATGATTTTCATCAAAGTCATTACGTCTTTGATTTCTAGTGTGTCTAACTTGAAATATTTTCCTGTGACACTTTTTGTAAGGGTGGAGAATACATTTTGAAATACTTCCAATAATCTACGCTAAGGAGACATTTAAAAATTAAGACTTTTCCAATACTCAGCCATCAAACAGGTACTTCTGAAGGAAGTTTGAATTTTCTGTCTCTGTTTCCTTAGATCAAAACAAAAATCAGGAAAATGGGACAGAAAAAAGTGCCCTAATGGGTTTTAAGAAATAAAATTTTTCTTTTGAAATGTAGACTCTGGGATCTCAATGCCACCTAGTTTCAGCCTCATACGTTCCCCTTTTTGCTGACGGAAAAAAGGTATTTGGAAAAGCGACCCACCCAAAAGCTGTTCTCTGAGGAGACGCATAAAAAAGTTTAATTTTTCCTTTAATCAACATCACATTAGTGATGCGTGCGCCAGCTACTTTTCTATCTCTGCCCGGTGAACTATATGTCCACAAAGTTTCAATATTTTCCTTTTTCGCTTTTCGTTGGTGTAAAAAC